ATTACCGTTTCTTTTTATTGTGCACTGTTTTAGAGTTTGCTTGGGAGCGACATCCGACAAAAAAAAGGGGGGCAAAAAGACAACACAGCGCACCAAAGACGTGGAAGGCGCTCCGCCGCACAGGCGACCCTGCAGCGGGTGCAGGAACTCAAAAAAGAAAAACAACAACGAAGCGTCGCACGAGAAAAACAGACAAACAGCAGCGCCACACAGCCCAAGCACTCAATATCATCAGCTGCAGACTGACTCCACGTTCCCACAACAGACAGCAGGCGGGACATCCTAAAGTTCTTCATTAGCACCCGCCTCCGCAATGTTATTTTTGACCTCAACTGAAACGGGAAAATTCCTGCAGCTTTCCGCGTCCCCTCCATTCCCCGCATTGGGCCTCACCACCACCGACGCATCCCTCACCACGCGCTCCTCCCCAACACACGCACCACCTCCCTCCGCACAAATACATCCTCGTAATCTGGCAAAATAAAAATTTGCACGGCCACGCAAACGCAGATCTAAGCACAATAAACTCCAGCCCCACACCACAGGTCTCCTCCTCCTCCTCAATCTGATCGAAACGAGGTGTGACGTCCGCCTCACTCCCACTCTCACTCCACAATATCTGAGGCCTGCTGGAAGCGGCGCCCACCACCCACATTCTAAGCGGCTCCGCAGGATGGCCCGACTCCACGTAAGTCCCACGTTGCATTCAACACCGACCGTAGACCCTCTCATCCAAAACCACAGTTGCTGCGGCTGCCCGCCTTTCCCTCTCTGCCTCCTCCACCGCGGCAAGGGCTGCCTTCAGTTTTGTCCGTGTAATGGGAGAGACAATACTCTTATCTGCAAAGTCCTTCCAGTCTCGCAGCGTAGCCACCCTGCTCTCCGTAAGCTTGCGCGCATCTTCCATTTCTTTCTGTATGGCTGTGTACGACGGCAAATTGAGAATTTCCTCATGAAGCCTCTGGCCTGTAATGTACCTATTTGGCCTACGCAGAAACACTCCCCATCGGCACATTATCGTTGCTTAGCACAGCTCCCCTGTCACCCAATGTAGTGCAAAGAAGGCCATTCAGCTTCACATCACTGATTTGACCAACTCCCACCATCAGTATTTCCTGGACAAAGCTCACCAGCGTCGACTCTGGCCGCTGCAGTACTTCCTCCACCCTTCGGCGCTGTGTGGAGGACTCACACAAGTTTTCATACAGTCCCTACCCCGCCTGTCACCGCCCTTGCAATACAGAAGCTATGAAGAATCTCATGCCACTGAAAAGCCTCACTCGTCTGCTGTCAGACATTACTTCCCCAATTATTTTTTCCTCCGTGGTGGTTGCTGGTTTGAGTTGGGCTGTAACACAACACTAACCATCAGACAAAAGGGATAATGGAATAAAAAAATATGCATAAACACGACTCCACGCAGCCACAGCAAAGAACAGAGAGAGCCACACACACGGTACGCGGCGCATACACCGGAAAAAAAAAAACTTTCTTGTGGGACGAGACGTTAACGCTGCAGGTCCTCCGCTATCTCCTTGTCTAGTATAAATGTCACATCACCTGTGCAGTTGCGCAGAAACCTTGAGACTGGCGTTTCAGTGGGTGCGTCTGACATGATGCTGTTCATAACCCATTTTTTTTCTCCGCCTGTCGCGAGCAGAATAACATAACGTGCGTGGATGATGGTGGTGGGCGTCAAGGTCACTCGCCAGACCTTTGGCCTCATCGTGGGGCTGGGGAAGCCCACGCTTACGGCGTGTTGCACTTCGTTCTCAGCCGGAGAGCCGGGGAATATGGAGGCGGTGTGCCCGTCTGAGCCCAAGCCAAGGAGAACAATGTCAAAAATGGGGACCCGTGTGCCCGTTGCCTTCACCTTTTTGTGGTCAAGGAGCGCGGTAATCTGTCTTTCATACGCGTCAGCCGCTTTCATGGCATCGTCGCAGGCGTCCTTCGACGCTTCCCCTCCAACACACCGCACTTCCACAGGCACCACAAGCTCTTCAGGAATGTCGTGCAGAAGCGCCTGCCTTGCCATGTTGTAGTTCGAGTCAGAAGCATCGGCTGGCACCAGCCGTTCATCGCCAAAGAAGAAGCGCAACGCTCGCTCCTCCTTGAGCAGGTGCAACTGCTCGTCATGTAAACGGGTGTACAACATCTTGGGCGTTGAACCACCGGAAAGAGCGATGGAAAGTGGCCAGCTCTCGCGCTTCGCAGCGTGGACAATGTCAAGTATTTTTTTACATGCCACACAACTCAACTCGTCAGGCGAATCACACGTTATAATATTCGGTTTAAAAGACATCCTCCCACACTCTCTCTTCTTCGAGGCTCTTTGCTCGACGTGGCGTCCTAACTTAGTGCTGCTTACTACCCAAATGCAAAAGGGCAGCAGCAATGGGAGAAAAGAAAAAATCTAAACCAAATAAGAAGGCCTCAAACCGCGTCAGCCCCGGCGGACACACACAGTAAGTGAGCTCCCCTCAGTGCGTTTATGTTGTAAGAAGAAGAATGTACGCAAGCAACCTTTCACCATCGACCCTACGCGTGACGCTCATACAGCCGACGGACTTTCTCCCCCAGCGTGGAGCGAACAGGGGTGTTTGGAGACGAAAAGGGATTCAAAAAATATCGCACGCACAGTCCATAAACTTCATTCATAAGCTGACGGGTATTTTTATTGGGTTCATGTTCTTGCATCAGTAGTAGTTTGATGGGCGCAAAACCGACATACGCTGAAACGTAGTACTTTCCATCCAATGGCCGATCAATCGCGGGGAGGAGGAAATCCCCTGTTGTCCATAGAACGTCATCTAAGAGATCTAGTGAGGCGTACAGCATTAACTGCCGCGACAGGGGTGTACTCTCGTTATCCACCGACTTTGTGCACTCAAACAATGAAGCATCATCTGGCCCAATGACCATCAACATTGTGGCCGTCTTCCACCTACGCAAAGAAAAGGCGTAAAAGAAGGAGCAATGAAGTCGTGCATGTGGTTGTGCGGCGGGACGGGAGTCAACCGAAGCAGCAAGCAGTCATTATGATCTTGTAACTCTCTCTGTGTGTGTAGGTTTCAAAGACACCAAAAGAAACGCTCAATGACCCCAATTTCCGTATGTTCCATGCATCCTAGTTAGTTATTTTTTGAGCTTTTTAAGTGGCGGCTCCCCGCTCTCGCTATCGGAGGCGCATTCTCCCTTCATGCCGTCATCTTCATCGTCATCATCGGAACCACCCGTCATGGCCTCACTGTGGCTCTTGTTGTCATTATCGCTGGTACCGTCCATAAGGTCCCCGGTATTCTCATCCCACACAATTGCTAGCTGCTTCGGGAAGCACTGCGCAAGATGACGCCGCAACGGCTCCGCATTCTCAAAAACATCTGGCATCTCACCCTCGCACGTCACCACGGCATTGTAGCCCAAGTGCAGAAACTCCCTTCCCATGTATGTGAAGGAGACAATCAATGCCGTTGGTCCCGTCGGATCGGGAATCTGTGCAAAGTCGGGCGGATCGCTTTGAAGCATCAGTTCATGCCTCCCTAGTGTTGAGAGCGGCCCAACCTCAAACTCGTCGAGTTCTTGGTCCACCGGAAAGTCCCAAATCGGTTTCCACGTGAACTTTACATCTATTGCGTGAACAGGCGGCTTCTCAAACACTTCCAAGACAACCTTCAGCGCAATGGGGTCGCTAAACGGTGCGGGGTTGTTGCCCACGACAGAGACGTCGCGTAGCACCAATCTCGTTGTCATCCGTCCTGCCCAGGAAGAGGTTGCCTGCAACAGACGAGAAAGAGAGAGTGTGTGTCACACTCTGAAGCCGTCAATAAAATTAAAAGAGGCAGTGACAAACAAAAAAAGAAACCCACATTTGGATAGACATGATCTGAGCAGCGCCCATCACACAAAAACAACAAACAATACAGTCTCCACGGCAAAAAGAGATATTGGGGCAACGAATATAAAACCCAGTGGTTGACGTGACTTCCTCATGTACACGTCATGTGTCAGGAATTGTTGAACAAGTCGCACGGAATCCCCCCCTTCCCCCCCACTCCCATGTTCCTCTTCGCTCTTTTCTGATAGCGACGCACTCGCATTGCGGTTGTGTCGCACGAGGCATCGTGTTCTTCCTACTGCCTGACAAAATACGGAACCCCCATTCATCACAGTGGCCGCACAGCACGGCTGTGGAAAAGGATTGACAAGAGTGGGGTTTGAACCCACGCCTCCGGAGAGATGACGACCTGAACGTCACGTCTTAGACCACTCGACCATCTTGCCGCGGCACCGGCAAAGTGGGGCATACATCTTCGGACTGTGCGAAGGTGCGTCCTGCTGGTCAGCCGGCCTCGTTCGCCGCGCCCGACCTCACGTGGTCAATTGCTCATGGAGTGAGTCCAACCATCTCTCGCTTCAGTGTAAGGCTTGGCGCTCAGTAGCAGGAAAAAAGGTGTAAAAAGGACCGCAAGCTGAGACAAAGAGGAGGGAAGATAGGCACGGACCGAAACGGAAACGAAAAGGGAGCAGAGCAGAGAGAAAAGGAAACTGAAAATCGGTCATTGGGAACTTCGCAACATTAAGTTCCTACGAGACAATTTACGCCATTTTGAAGGTCATATGATTTTCAGGCCGTTTCATATATACAAGCAGGGGCACCCGTCTCTCCCTTGTGTTCCGCCTCGCTCCATTTTGGAACAAAAGCGATATATATATATTGATGCGCATGTAGTTTGTAGGGGGTCTCTCTCTTTCTCTTTCTCTATTGTGTTCCTTCCTCTTTTTTTTTTTATTCTCTTGACTTTAGGTTCTTTTTATCGATTATTTACTTATTATCCCTCTCCTTTTCTTCTTCTTTTTGAGACTTATCGCCTGCCGCCGCACCCCTACAAGTCGTCGAAGGTGGCCAGAGGGTCGTCCAGAACCACCTTGTTGCGGTCAATGACGTTCTCGCCGTCATCATTGTCGGCCCCCTCGTCATCGTCGTTGTCGGCCACGAAGACGTAGTCGGAGTGAGCGTTTTTGGCGTCTCGCTCGTCACTGGATCGGAAGTCGCGCGGAATCACCTCGTCTTTCACGAGGCAGCGCACCTCGGCGGGGTTGTAGCGGTGGATGACGTCGACAATGTCGTTCTTGTTGAAGGCGCGCTTCGAGACTAAAACAACATCGCCCTGCGCAATCCACACTTTTCGCACCATGGTCCCACGAATGGCGCCTATCGCCTTGCTACCGTCCGCCAGCTGGAGCTCAAGCCTCAGGTTGCCTAACGCCTTCTTCACCTGCGCGTACTCCTCCTCCTCCTGGGGATCGGCGTAGAGAATGTCGCGCTTCTGGTTCTGCATGATCCCCTTGGCATTGCCCGCCTTGAAGGACTTGCCTCCCTTTCCCATGTTCTTCGGCATCTTGACGGTACTTCTGACAGGCGGGGTGGAAAAATAATTTTTAACTTTGCTCTTTGCTTCTCGTCCTCGTCCTATTACGCGCTCGATGCGCCTCGCACTAGCACCGTGGCCACCGCAACCGAGACGGAAGGGATGACGCAAACAAAGAAAGCAAATAACGCGCAAAAGAGTTTTAAAACGCCGTCACGGACAACAAGCAGGGAACACACACGCACACACATGCCGTCCAAATACAAAGAAAACAAAAAAAAACAATCAAAAGGGAGGCGAGAGAAACAAATGCCGCTGGGGTTGCTGCACCGCACCACACCGCACCGCAGCATAGGGCGGGGGGCTTGGAAGAGCATACCCTGCCAAGCCTGTGCTGAGACTCCCTTGCACTATCCTCTTCACATCCCCCGCGTTGAAAAAAAGAGTCCCGGTACATCCAGCCCATTTCACGGCGTTCTGCTTTTCTGTGGTGACTAGTAAAGGAGAAACGGTATTCAACAATACATCGTTTAAGAGCTCACCAGACGCAGCCAGTACGCTTGCCGGGCAAAAGTGTACTTGTGTCACCCATGTTGCCCTGCTCAGCCTCCGCTCCACAGGTACGACTGCTGCGCCGCTGACTGGTTAGCGTAGACAATCTGACGCAGCTCGTCGTGCGACCATGGAAGGAGAGAGGGTTGCGGCCCTCGTGTTACGGTCCCTGGCGATACCCACATTAACGGGGATGACGTAGAAGGGGATGCAACAGCCGGGACGTTCTCCCGCTGAGGATATTTCTGGGGTGATGGTGCCCGAGGCGTATAAGAAGCCACGTTTACGGGGGCGCTAGGCTGCAATGAAAACTGGCCCCTGCGTTTGGCATTTTGCTGAATGACAAAGTGTGTGTCCGGCAGGTACTTCCAGTCGTACTCGCATGTTTGGAGGTTGTACTGTGTGGGTTTGCCGCACACCTCCTTTTTGTTTATTGGCATTCGCCCTAATTGACTCGGGTGACGGTCACCCTGCCTGCAGCCACCCAGACACAAGAATCACACTAAATGCAGCAATGCCGAAAAGGAAGATGCGGTAGATAGCATGCACCCGCTTGATAGCTTCGGTGTATACACACGAATGGGGCGGAGGCGATTTCTGCTCTTCACTCGCAGATCCCCTTCACACTATACATATATATATATATATATATATATATATATGCACGATAGATGAGTCCGGCACGAGATGAAAAAAGGACAGTGAGGGCAAGAGAAATATCACGGCATAAACAGTGGTATCTGCTGCAGCACTGACAAGGGGGTCTCCCTGCATATATATAATGTATGGATGTATTCGTGCCTGTCGGTGTCGGTGTCAGTGTCGCCACGTGTGTGTAAAGCCACCAACAATGCAGAAGGAAAAAAAAAAACGTCTCTGATCGGATGCTAAATTTTCCCCATTACGCACTTTGCTGCGGTTTATGAGCAGCCCCCTCAGCCAACGGTTCACCGCCCTCGCCGGCTGCACTGAAGCTGTCGTCTTCAAGGTCCAAGTCCTCAAAGTCGCCAGTATTGGCAAGCATCTCATTGTGCCACTCCTCCTCCTCCTTCTCCGTCCACAACGGGTCCACATCACTGGGATGCGGGACATTGCGCACACCCCAGAAACGCATCTTCGCATGACGAAGCCGCCACCAATGATGAAACTCCTCGGTTTTGAATTTACTCGCCCACCGGTCAAACGCCATCTGCATGTGTGGTGGACGTTGGATGCCCTTCTCGGTCTCAACGATACGCGGGGGCAGAAAAAATCGCTCCGGCCCTGTTGTGTAGTCCTCCCCCTTGTGGTTGTCACTCATATCACGGTTCTTGTACTCCACAAAGTACATCGCCACGCCATCCGTGCGGCGACGAGTCTTAAGTCGCGTCATCATGGCATACTTCCCATGCATGTCTCTAAAGCGCCGCGGGTACTCGTCAAACGCCTTGTCTACCATCAGCGGGTCGTGCAAAAAATATGCGAGCTGCTGCCGTGAGTCGGTGTCGCCGGCCTTGGAAAGGTCCACGACGTGGTCGGCCAAAATGCGCAGTGCGGGGGCGCGAGCCCCGCCTACAATGCAGTAATCCTTTCGTATCATCTCCGTCACCATGCGGCGGGCGACTTGTTGCCGGTGGAAAGGGCTGCGGGCGCGGAACTTTGGCAGCTGACCTCGCTGCCACCCGTAGTCCGCCATGAGTGGCTCGCTCGTATCCCACGGCCTGAACGTAATCGCAGGGTTGTCGTCGATACCCGCGAAACGAGCCTTGCGTGTCTGCCCAATCACCGGCGGTGGCCGGCCGCCCACAAAACGCGTTGGCCGCATCGCAGGCTGCACGCAAAATGGGCAGTCAAAAATCTTTCGCCGAACGCCCTCAAAGAACAACGTCCCGGCTCAGAAAGGAATGAGCCGCACGCTCACAACGCCAGCAGCCTCACAGCCGCCCACACGTTTCCCTTCAAGACAAAGAAGAGGCGGCACAAAAGAAAAAAAAAGAGGGAGAGACACAGAAACGGATGCACATACCGTCCATCATAACTCAATGACAAACACAAGACGGGGCAAAGAAGAAGAGAAAAGAGGGGAATGCGCATGCGCCCGCCCCCCTCCTCCCCTCTTTTCTGCCAATCCCCCGTCCTCCCTCTCTCTCACCCACCCCCGTCGCATTGTCACCCTCCATCAGTAAAGAGGCAGGCACGTACATTAGAGCTACTAGCAACATGAAGAACTAAAACAAAGGCCAAATAAAGAATAAAAAGGGGGAAGAGGAAAACACCAAAAAACAAACAAACAAGAGAGTTGTAATTGATCAGTGAATAACTCTCTTGATCATCAATATTATTCTTTTTGTTTTCGCATGCGTGTATGTGTGGAGGTTCTACTGCTTTGTCTTTGG